CATTGCAGGGTTATTTACGGCCAGAAGCCCCCGCATACCCACAGATGGGAGGGAGGATCCGAGCGTGACACCTGGCACAGCGAGGGCTGTGTTACTGCTTGACATTTTGCTTGAAAATAAATCTGCTGGGATTGGGCAGGGACGTGGTGATGAACAGGACAGACAGCGTCCGCCCTCTCAGGGCTGACCTTCTCCGGGGAAGGCAGACAGCAACCAGGCGGACCAGATTGTGACAGGTACACGGAGGGAAGAACGGGGTAGCGCGGGAGAGAATTGTGGCCGGGCTTGGGGACGGTTACAGGAGAAGCCCGTCCAGGAGCTGGTGCTGAAAATGAAATCCAGAGATGAGAGGGAGCCAGTGGGTGAACAGCCAGGAAGAGGCGTTGAGGCAAAGGGAGCAGGGGTCACCGAGCTGCTGGGCGTGGAGAGCTTGGTGTGCGAGGGAGGGGATGGAAGATGTGGGGCTGGCGCAGGACAAGTCGGGAGCAAGCTGGAAGCTGAGGCGGGCGGAGAAGTGAGCAGGCCAGATCCCTCAGGCCTCGAGGGTTTAAGATGGCAGAATAGGCGGTCCCAGCCCGCAGGCCCCCATGGAAACACTGACTGACAACCACCTACAGACGAAAATACCCTGGTGAGAGCTCTGGATCCAGGGGAGCGGCTCTGGCACCCCCGCGGGCCACAAAACGCGAGAGGAACCACACTTTGCTGTCTTACTTCTCCCTGAGGCTGACGGACTTGGAGCCCAGAGAGACCCAGCCCACGACTCCTCCCGCAGGACAGGGAGCGCGCAGCGGAGGGTCTGGCTCCCCAGCCTTTTGGGGAAATGTCTGAAAACCCTGATGGTTTTCTTGCACCCAGAACACCCAGGAAATCAGCGTGGCTGGATTGTCCGGGAGCAGCTAAGAACAAAGCAAAGTGTGCACACCCCCACAGCCGCAGTCCCCTGCGGACGGTGCCCCACATGCTCCCACGGGTGGCGCACGGGCACCAGCAGCCAGGGGAGGCCTTGGCCGCTTGACTCCGCAGGACTGAGAGGAAGCACACCCCGAGACTGCTCCTTCGGAGGGGAGGGACGAAGTGGCCCTGAGCCCGTTATCCCGGCGTCTCGGGGCACTGTCCTGTGGGAAGAAAGCAGGTGACTCTTGGCACCGGACATGGCTCCGTGGGGTAAGAAGGCACAGAATCTAAGGCACACCCCTCAGAAGGGGGGCAGGGAGGTGGAGCCTGCACCAAACGCCCTGGGCTGTCAGGGCACCTCCCTACGGAAAAGGACCTGACATTGGTGCAGCCACTATGGAAAACAAGATGGAGATTCCTCAAAAGATTAAAAACAGACTTACCTTATGATCCAGCAATCCCACTCCTGGGCATATATCTGGAGGGAACTCTAATTCAAAATACTATATGCACCCCAGTGTTCACAGCAGCACTGTTTACAATAGCCAAGACATGGAAACAACCTAAATGTCCATCGACAGATGACTGGATAAAGAAGCTGGGGTATATTTATACAATGGAATACTACTCAGCCATAAAAAAGAATGAAATAATGCGATTTGCAGCAACACGGATGGACTTGGAGACCATCACGCTAAGTGAAGTAAGCCAGAAAGAGAAAGAAAAATGCCATATGACATCACTTAAATGTGGAATCTTTAAAAAGACACCACTGAACTTATTTACAAAACAGAAATAGGCTCACAGACATAGAAAACAAACTTAAGGTTATGAGGGGGGAAATGGGGGTGTATAAATCGGGAGTTCAGGCTTACTACCATCAAGCTAATTAGCACATTGTCCTTTCTGTGGCGCTGTGCGCACCTTGTGTCCGTCTCCTGGGGAGCGTCCGCGGCACGGTGTGTGTTAGGAGCTGCAGTCATCCTGCTGGGCGTTGCCTCTCTAGACTCACCCGTCCTACAGAAGTAGGCCTTTCACCCTTGACCAACGTCTCAGAATTCCTCCCACCCCAGCCCCGGCCCAGTGACACGGGGACCTCGTCTCCTCCCGGCCGCCGGCTGCAGGGAACACACCACCGCTTCTGTTCGGCATCGTCTCCTGGGCTGTTTATCTTCCTGACCTTGAAGTGCGCATTGGCCAGCTCTTTCCCCAGGCCAGCACAGCCCCAGGTAGTTAAGCCCCGGGGCTGGGGCGCACACAAGCGAAGTCAGAGCCAGCTGTCCCAAACGCCGCCACGTGTGGCCGGCGCACGTGCCTGGAGGTGCTCTTGAATGTGTGCGTTTTCCTGGAGTGCGGCCCTTGGCTTTGCGCAGATTCGCTGAGGGGTCCCACCCAGAGGGGTGCCACGGTCATGACGATGGTCTGATTCGAATCCCTCTCTGTGCCGTGGCTGTGGTGAGGGGGGACGGTTTCTCCAGCCTCTCCGAGCCCCACTCTGAGAAGCCACGGTTTATTGTGTGTCCCACTCACCACCTGACTTAGCCGGAGTCTGGGAATGCAGGCCCCCCGACTCACCTACTCTTGTGTTTTGTGTTTTCAACTTTCTCTTGGGGGAACCGTCAAACATACCCGGAAGCAGGCAAAGCGGTAAGAAGACCCCCGCCATGCACCCAGCTTCAGCCGCTATGCGCTCGCGGCTGGCCTTACGGCATCTGTCCCCCGGCTCCTTCCGCCTTTCGCGTTTCTTTTCAATTTTTCCTATAAACCAGCACCTGTACTGAGAGTGCCTGTGTGCTAAGTATGGGGGAGGGCGAGTTTTCACGCCGCCAGCTCACCTGTGGAGCCCCAGCTCCTAATTCCGACGTGCGCACGTGCGTCCTGCACACGCCGGCTGTCCTACAATTCAACCCAGTTCTGCCGCTGTCCACTGGAGGCCGTGTCAGACCCCCCTGGGGAAGGGCTCAGCCCCACAAGGCTGCCTCCACGTGAGGTGCCAGTCGCAGACCTGGGTATTTCCCTGTGCGTCTGACCACCAGGCTATAAATCAGAAGCTGCCACCACCTCCACCTTGGGTTCGATTCGTTTGCTGGAGCGGCTCACAGAACTCAGCCAGTGTATGCACTAGATGACTGGCTTATGATAGAAGGATGTGAGTCAGGAACAGCCAGGTGGTGCACTGTGGGGAGGATCGGAGCTCCCGTGCCCTCTCTGAGCGCACAGCTGTCCCAGCGTCTCCTCGTGTTCCCAGACCCAGAAGCGCTGACGCCTGTCCTCTTGGGTTTTGGGGGAGGCTTCATTACATAGACGTGACTGATCACATCATTGGCCATTGACGGTGATTCGACCTCCAGCCCCTCTCCCCTCCCAGGAGTCGGGACGGGGCTGAAAGCTCCACCCCTCGGGTCGCTGATCGGCTCCCTTGGCGACCAGCCCCATCCTTAGATGCTTTCCTGAGTCACCTCCCCAGCGTGACCCGGTCCTGGTGGAAGGGGCTTGTTGTGAATAACAGGACACCGTTTCACCTTCACGGCTCCGAAGCCGAGACCAGAGACCACACGTTGTAACACGTGGTGCTCCCGGTGCTCTTACTGCTCGGGAAACGCCGGGCGCCGGAGCTGTGGGTGAGGACCCGGTGCATCTGAGGAATGGCTTCTGGCCATCTGAGTGGTCAAATACCTATTTCTTACAGATCAGAGGATCGCTCCTGGGTAGCCAGTCCCCAGTCAGGAGTCACACAGCAGGAGCGCCTGCAAGCCCTGTGTCCCCTTCCGTCACCCCCCGTCACCTCTGCCCAGACTTCTACACGAGAGCCTGCTTTGCTGGCTGCTGAGCAGGTAGGGTTGGCAAGTCTGGGCTCAAAATGCACCTGGGCGCTGGCCAGTCGTGTGACCGGCACTTAACACAGCCTCCAGGACCCTCTGCCCCCGTCTATGCAGGGGCACCTTGCCGGACCTGCCAGGTGGCTGTGAAGATCACTGATGCCATGTGTCAGCCCAGCCCAGGGCCTGGAACTTAGGACCAAATAAGGAGTGTCTCTCCTCATCGCTGTCCTTGGCATTATTTCCAGTTTTGTGCCTGTGCTGAGACAGGAAGTGGCCTGTGGCCGTGGCAGGTGTCGTGCGGCCACCACGAGAGGCGTGGGCAGCAGTATCCAGGCACCAGCAGCAGTGTCCTCCAGAAGCGGCCCCGTGCCGGCCAGTCCGCCAGCTTGAAAGGCACCCGGGGCAGCGTCTTCACTGACACAGCGGACGGGGGAGGGGCAGGGTGGTCTCCTGAGACCAGCACGGCTGGCGCAGGGAGAAGCGTCCCCTGGCCTCCATGCTGACGGGGACGGGCAGCCAGTCTGCAAGATGACCAGAAAGGCAATTTGCCCAAAGGAAAGGCGTCTGACTCTAGGTTAAGCGTGTTTTTCTTCCCCAGCCTCTCTGGCCATAAAACCCATCGGGGGTGTCCAGGGATTAGATCCACGAACGCGCTCGCTCTCACCCTTGGCCCCTTCAGGCGCGGGGAGCCCAGCCGCGTCTTTAGCCCTGAGCCGCGTGCGTTTAATCCCCAGTCCCTTGCCCTTGGTTTCTAGAGCGGACGGCGGTGCTGCTGACGGATGCCGCGTGTTTCCTCCTCTCTGTGAAAGTTCAAGTGTGCGTGATACGATCTAATTGTCCAGTTTCTTGACATTCAGGCTTGTCTCCTTTGTAAAGCCGTGTAATTGATTTCTGGGTTCTTGAAAATAGAGCTGGGAGTGGAGAAATAACGCTGCAAATACCAAGCAGGGGAGGCGGCGGGGCCGGCTGCACGGCTCGCCATCATTTGTTCAGTCACTCATTCGTCCATTCAGTCCCTGTCTCCCAGAGCCCAGTGCCCAGAGTTCTGGAACCACAGCCCCCCAGCTCTGGGGTTGCTCCCCAACTCCTGGGAAAACAATGACAGTCGCGGGGAGGGGCCTGAAGCTTCCAGGGGTGGCCGGGGCTGGGCTGGGGCAGCTGGCTGAGGGCTGGAGGAGGGGCCCCTGGCGGGGGGCCCCTGGGCCCCGGGCCGCGCGTCCTCACGCGGGTCCCCTGCAGCGGACCGTCTGCACTCTAAGCGCGTGTTCTCTCTCGTTGCAGGTCTGAAGGAGAAAGCGCCCGCAGTGTCAGGTATGTGTGTCATCGGCCTCTGTCCGTGTGTCTGCGTCCTGGGAGCGGTGGCACCGGTGAAACCATGTGCTTTGCTTTCTCTCCGATGAGGTCTGGCCCTGCCCGCCGCCCGGGCACCTTGGTGGTGCTCTGCTGGCTGGTGTCCTGGAGCAAGAGGGCCAGCTTGCCACAGGGGCTTCACCTGGCCTGGTGGCCCTTTCCGTCAGGGCTGATGGAGGTTCTCCTGGGCTGTGACCCATGTAGGACCAGAAGCTTCCCAGCGCACAGCCCCTGGAGCCAGGCTGGGCGGGTGGGGCAAGTCTCCTTGGTGGAGGCCGGTGGCCTTGACCATGCGGGCGTCTCCGCGGTGCACGGAGCAGACTGACGTGCATGTTCCTGGGCTTGTGGCCAAGACCCCTCCGCCTCCCCGTGCTCCCCACCCCTCTTGGGGGCACTGCCTGGGCCAGGCAGCCTCAAGACTTGAGCTGGGGGCCCAGGAAGGCCGTGGGGCCTGGCAGACAGTGGCCTGTGGTGGGAGAGGGGCGGGAAGGAGAGGCAAGGAGGCAGTTTCAGAGTCACTGGCAGCAGATGGGGAATCCGCATCTTCCCGTGACCAGGCTAGGGAGAGAAGAGCTCGTCCCGGGCCTGGAGCTGGGGGTGTCAGGCAGGCTGCCTGCAGAGCCAGAGACAGAGGTGCGGGTGGCTGCATCCTTGGGGGCTTCCTGGAGTCAGCAAAGTCCCAGTTCTGTACCCAGGCACTCAGCCCAGGAGACACGAGTTGGGGCTCAAGCCAGGGAGACAGAGCAGAAGCAGCTGGGGGCAGTGGTCACCCTGCGCATGAAGGAGCTAGAGGAGATGCCCTGGGATTCGGGGTGTCCAGGAGATGCAGGAGGAGGCCTGGCGGATGTTCTGGGACAGCCCAGTGCCCACAAAAGCTGCTTGAGGTGGGGCCCGAGGCCCACCCTGGAGCATGGGCAGCCGTGAGAGAGGAGGGCGCCCTTGGCCACTGTCGGGGAAGAGGCCAAGGTGTGCTGTCTGCAAACAGAGCCAGGTACAGGAGAGTGTGTGCCTCATGTTACATTTTGGGTAAGAAAAAGTCAGATATAAGAACGTGATTTCTTACTTATAACGTTTGCATAAATGAGCAGTGGCAGGTGACACAGGCAGCTGTTAGAATGTTCCCTCTGGAAGTGGGGACAGGAATGGCCTCCAGGCTTTTCAAGGTCCCTGTGCTGTTGCTGGGCTGTGAGTGGTACCCATGTATGACCTCTCAGAAAATTCACTGAAAATCAAGAACTGTTTGGGGGAGGGGTGCTGAGTAGTGAGCCTCCTGTCACTGGGGGTGTGCAACTGTGTTGGAAGGGGATTCGCACGGGGGTAGGAGGCTGAGGTCCCACTGGCCCACTCCTTGCTCCTTTGGGATCTGATAACCCCCCTCTCTGTCTGACACACTCACCGATGGTGAGATGGGGCCCTTCACCAAGATCTCCTGGGACCAGAGAGTTCAGCTGGGCTCCTCACGTGGGGTGCAGGGAGATGTGGAGGTGTGTGCAGGATGAATGAACCCGCAGGATGGCGAGCGTCTGGCCCACCCCCCAACCTCCGTCTCAGCATCCTGTGTGTGGCTGGGGCGGGGGGTAGGCGGCGGGGATGTCAAGAAAGTGGTCTTTGAAAGCAGTGCTGTTGAAACTGAGCCCTGAGGAGGGAGGCGGATTCTCCGTGCGGGGGAGGTGGGGGACAGCTCGTGCAAGGACCCGGAGCCCGGTGGCTTGGCTGCGTGGTGGGAACAGGACGCGGGTGGGGCTGTGCGCAGAGTGGAACATATGTTCACAGCTCAGGCCAGACGGTTCTCAGCGGGACGCTCGGAGCTGAGGAGCCGGGCAGGGGGAGCTCTGCCGGTGGTGGGGCAGGGAAGGCTGTGTGTAAGATCTTCGAGGCCGGAGACCCCACCCAACGACGCCGGCCCACGTGGCTGGGTGCTCTCCCGGGGCCAGACCTTCAGGGCTCGTGGTGAGACAGACTGCTAGCACTTGAAAGTGCCGGGTTCGGGTCCTGACGGGGCTCCGTCCTGCGCTGGACCTGTGTTTCACCCCGGGCCGTCGACACGGGCGTCAGGCCTGGGCCACACGTCCCATCCTTGGCTCCCCAGCAAGGCCCTCCCTTTGCTCGGGGCCGGCAGCCCCCAGACTGTTCAGATCTGGCCCCCTCCCTCCCCCCGGCTTTGGGTCACTGGCCCCAGGACGGCTGCAGAGCTGGTTTTCGAGGGAAGAGTATCTGTGAGGTCTGTTCCAGAAATGAGCCCAGGCCCTGCTGGGGTCCTCTCCATGGTCCTCTGCCCTCTCAGGCCCGCCCGGAGGGAGCTGGGCTGAGGGAGAGCCCCTGCTTCTCCTGCCACGGTCTCCACTGGGAGTCTCAGGATGTCTCAGCCAGCACCTCCCACCTGCGCAGCCTGGCTTTCCGCTGAGGTCCCCCCCACACCTTCTGCTCCCGCCAAACGGTGCTACTCGCCCGTCTAAATGCATCCGCTGGTTCCCTGCCTGCCTTCTGGCTTGTAGATGTGTACCCTGGGCTGTTTCCTCCACCTCCTTTCTCAGAATCCCCCCAGCTGCCGCCTCCCTGAGGCTGCGGGGGCGCCGCGGCTGAAGTGCCACCGGCCCCCCGCCCCGCCCGCCCCTGGCGTTCCATGGCTGCTGTGCTCACTTCGATATCCACGTTCATGCCGCTCTGTGTCCTGTGACATGGGCACTGGTCTTGCTCCCCCAGGCAGAGTAAGGGAGCCGGGTTGAGGCCCTGGGACATTTCCGGGTGGGGCCAGCACTTGCCAGGCACACAGCAGGCACCCAGGGCCTCAGCGGGGTGAACTCACCTTGGTGCCACCTACGGCCCCGGCACGACGGCTTCAGAGAAGAGGCACAGACTCCTGCTTGTTTAATTGGATGCAGGACCCGTAAAACTTTCAGGCACTGAACTTGGAGGGAAAAGGAAAAGTAGACCATTCACCCCACTCGATGGAGAACCCCTGCCGCCCCCAAACCCACAGCCAACCCTCCCTGCAAATACTGGGCATAAGGGACCACCTCTCATGACTCAGAGAGACAGCGGCGCCGGGATTTCATTAGCCTAAGTGAGGTGCTCATGGGCCAGTGTGAGCTGATGGTCTTTGCTCAACGTGAGGGCAACGGCCCCTGAGGGGCCCCCTGTTTCCCACGCCCTCCCCAGGGTCCCTGCGTGGTGAGGTAATTTCTCTTTAGACGCAAATGATCTGAGCCCCCCCCCCTTCTGCTTGGCCGTCCAGCCCCCTGGAGCAGCAGAGAACGCTTTTGTCGGGAGAAGGTTGTTTGAGAATCCGTGTGCACTGCTCTTCCCCGAGGCAAAACATGTGCGAGATCAGATGTATTCATTTTCCACAAACGCAATGAGTCATTTTGACCATTTTGCAAACGTAGGACTTTGCGCCTTGTTCCCGGAGGGTGTGTGTCTGCTTTTTGCTTATTCCAGGGGAGGCTCCGGAGGCCCCGGACTTGGAGCCCTTTCATGACTTATTTAGGGGGATGAGGAGAGGTTTGCAGAGTTTGGCGTTTGAAAAGAGTGAGTAACTGCGCGGAGAGCCCAGAAGGAGTGCCAGGTCTGCGGCTAGGGGGCGGGGGCTTTCTGGGGGTGAGCCATTGTCTTTTTCCTTTTTTCTCCCTGGCTTCCATCAGCCCCTTGAAGTAAACTCGTGGTCACTGTTAGGAATACATACCATTTAACGAGTGTTCGCCGCGGGTTGGGGCCTCGCCCCTGCGTGAGGGTGATGAGCCTCATTTGTCCGGCTCTGGGAAATTGAGGCTGAGAAACACTAAACAGCTTCCCTGCGGTGACGTGGTTTTCAAGCGCAGAGCCAGGACGTGGAACACCCAACCGTTCCAAGTCAGAAAGCGTTTTATACAATGCTGTGTATAAAATAGATGAACAACAGAGACCTAGCGTAGAGCACAGGGAACTATATTTAATTTCTTGTAATAACAAATAATAGGAAAGAATCTAAAAAGAAAAAATATATATGTATGTATATCTGAGTCACTTTGCTGTACACCTGAAACTAACATCGTACATCAACTGCACTTTGATAAAAAAATTTAAAAAAAAAGAGTCGCCTGTGGGACTTGCTGAAAATGCAGATTTCCAGGCCTGGTCCTTATCATGTCTGACTCAGAAGGCAGCTGGGTGGCTGCAACATTGCGCTGTACACCAGGAACTGATACGTTGTACATGACTGTACTTTGATTTAAAAAAAAAGAAAGAGGGAGGCAGCTGAGAACGCTTGCTGTGCTGGGTACACAGAGCTGAACCCTCGCCCCAGGACGGACCGGGAGCTGGTTCCAAGTCAGAGACATGGGCGGGGGTCCGGGGAGACCCTGTCCTGCAGCCTGTCCGGAGGTGCTGGACTCGGGGCTGAGCAGGTGGCCTCGGAGGTGAGCACACATTTCTTAGAAATGGAAGTAGAGGCACGGCGTGGGGGTGGGGGTGGGGGGCACAACTCTGAATCCAAATCCTTTCTCCTCGTCTTCCCCGCTGTCACCACGGATCGGACGCTGAGCTTGCCAGGCCTCGGATTTCACAATCGTTCAGCAGTCTGTAGTGAGCACCTGCTGTATGCATGTCCTTGGGCAAAGCACTGAGAGCATGAAGCCCAACGAGATACAGTGAGCACCTGCCACCCCCCGTGACGTGGGCAGAGGTCTCAGCCCGCAGCCCACGGGCCTCTCAGCTGGGCTGTGGGTGGGGCGCGTGTGACAGGTGGTAGCGCTCAGTTAATGTCCTCTTGCTTTCCCCTCACCTCCTTGGAGTCCGGGGGCAGGCTGGAGGGAAGCCGGTGGTTGCCTGGGCGGGAAATGCCCTGGCTTGGGGGACGTTCCATTCTGGTTCTCCCATCCCCCCTTCCCTCCCCTGGGATTCTGCTGAGAGCTTCCTGAGCCTTCTTGTCCCTCGGGGCCGGCTCTGACCTCCCATCTCCTGAGCGGTTTCCGCAGGCTGGCCTT